AAACCGAAGGAAGCCCCATGAAAATCACAACTTGACCTCAAATCCAAACTCAAGAAATGGTCAGAAATGAATTCTAATAAAGGGGAATGATAGAACACATCGAGGGGAACAAAAAACGTGAAAGCCGAAGACTTTTCACTTAGGAAAAGTAAATCAAAGGAGGAAAGAGAAGGTGACAGCTCCATGGACGTCCATGGCTACTTCAGGCCGTGCATGGAGAGTGAGAAAGATGAAAAATAAAATATTTCACCCCCCTTTTATAGAAATCTCAAAAAGTGCTCCGAACGGGCCCCGTCGGGTCTGGAAAAGTGAAATTTGAGCAAACATGCTCAAATGGAAAAACTTCGTGAACAAAAAAGATTCAAAATTATAAAATATGAACAACGGAAGAAACGACGTTGAAAATCGAGTCCCGAGCATAAAGTTATACCCCAAATAAGTTCGGTAGCAACCGGGTCCAGAAACTCTGAAACTGGAGAAAAACGACTAGAACGGAATTCTAAGAGTCCACGACTTGACGAAATGTGAAAATGAATCTCGTACGAGGATCCAGGCTCCAGATGAGACATTTTGCAATAACTTTCGTTAATTGCACAATGGCCCCTACAAAAAGGGTTAATTGTGAAACTGCCCTAGAATGAAAATATCTTCCAAAAGATATTTTCTTAGATGCCCCTGAAATAAAATATATTCAAAATATATTTACGAAAAACACCCCAAGAAATGAAGAATTGTGCATCTATGCCCCTGTGGGCACCGGGAGCAACCAGAGTACTTTCTTGCAAAAGTAAAGATACGTATTTCAAGGAAACCACCCAAGATGAAGGCACGTGAAGTCAAAAACTACCCAAGATGAAGGCACGTGAAGTCAAAAACTAACTCCGAGCATGAAAAGTGAGGTTGTGCCAAAAACTGACAAACGGAGATAAGACAGAATAGGGAAAAGACGAAATAGTGAATAGTGTCCGAAAAATGAAAATGCAGAAATGACTCGATTCTCAAAGGAAGTTGTCAATCCACGGAAAAGAGTCTCAGAAATCATTTTCAAGTACTCGAGATGACACTAAGCGACAAGAAATAGAGTTTAGAAAGGAAAATTAAACGAAAAAAATTCATTCTTAAAATTTCGGGAAAAAGGAAAAGAAGACAAATGACCGGGTCGTTACAAAAATAATAAAAAGCTCCTTACAAAATGAATCAATTCCCTTTAAATAATAGGTCATTTTCTTAGCCACTAAGTCAGAAATATAGCCCAAAAATATCTAATCCCGCAACTTTTTGGTAGGTAGAGATCGGCGCGCTCGGGAATCAGACAGCTCACTGCAGCACATTTTCGATTGATCAGACCTTGTTCGATCTATCCAACTTTCGATCGATCCAACTCTGATCAATCTCACCTTTCTCAGATCTATCAAACTTTTCTCAAATCTATCCAACTTTGCAGTTTTTCAGCATCAGCCTCATTTTGCTCCAAATCGGCCTCCTTTTGCTCCCAATTTTCACAAAGACTTAGTTTGACTCCAAAGAGGCCTTAAGAAACCATTTTTAGCTCATTTTAACATCATTGACCTGAAATAGACAAAAACACAAATAAATACTAAAACGGGTAAATAAAGATAGATAAATGGACTAAAATACCCTCACTTAGGGGGTTTAAATGCGCACTTTTCAGCGCTCATTACCACACAATCCAACAATTGATATAACGATTAAAGAAATATATCAAACAATTCAGAAATAACTATGATAATATGGTATCAAGTTATCACAAAATATGAATGACTTATTATTTATTTAAGCTTCCTATATCATATGTCCTACATAAACTGAATCTTATACATGATGATATTTTATTATACCGTCAAATAAACATTCTCCATATCTAATTCATCATAAACATTTAATCTCAATTGCTAAAACATTTTAAAAGATTAAATCCATTCGTTTATTTAAAACATTCAAATAGCAAACATCATTATGATTGAGTCTATTTAAATTTATTTAAACCCAAACCTAGTTCCTATTTAATGTTCCGGAATCATAGGCATGTTTCTACGTTTCATTCTATAGATATGAAAAATACATAATTTAAACATGTAAAAATTCACACCGGAAATCAAATCAAAATTATGCATTTATCAATTCATAATACAAGAACATATATGAATCAATTTCATAAAACCTATATTCTAATCAAATTAAACATGCATAATTATTTAATTTTATGTGTTTAATAAATCCTGAAATTTCCTAGGTATGTGCAGAAACACGAATCAAAGGGAAAGAGATAGAAGAAGAACTTGCCTTAAACTTTCGGATCGAAAGTTACACTTTTTCTTCCTTGATCTTCTCTCTACAGGGTTTTTCTCCTCTTTCCTTCCTTTTCCTCCTTCCCTATCTAGCTCTCTCTCTATAATATATCACGTGAATATTTCTAACCCCCTTTTATAACCAATAACTATATATTTATAGGTTAAATAAAATAACTCTAACCCTTTTCTCAATCAAAGTCAACTTAAAAAAAATAAAAATAAAAATATTAAAAAAGTAAGTAAAATATGTTACGTATATAATTTATGTATATCTTTATTAAATAAATAAATTATATACATTCCATTATTTATTAATGGATTATCTAATAATACTTAAGTTACCATAATATTATAAAGTAACTTAAAACATAACACGTATCAAATCTATGTATATTTTTATTATTTAAATATAAAACATATACATCAGATTAAATATTACTACCCAAGTTACTATAAAAGTAATTAATAAATTACTCATTATTTATTAATGGATTATCCAATAATATTTAAGTTAACATAATATTATAAAGTAACTTAAAACATAATACGTATCAAATTTATGTATATTTTTATTATTTAAATATAAAACATATACATTACATTAAATATTACTACCCAAGTTAACATAAAAGTAATTAATAAATTATCCATTATTTATTAATGGATTATCCAATAATACTTAAGTTACCATAATATTATAAAGTAACTTAAAACATAACGTGTATCAAATCTATGTATGTTTTTAGTATTTAAATATAAAACATATACATCCGATTAAATATTACTACCCAAGTTACCATAAAAGTAATTAATAAATTACTTTCCCTTTTATATATGTATATAATATATATATATACACAAAACTATCCATGGGTAATAATTCATACCATAAAAGTAATTAATAATTTAATTTCCTTTTTATATATGTATATAATATATATATACACACACACACAACTATCCATGGGTAATCATCTATACCCACCTAACCTCCTATCCAAGTAGTCCATGGGACTCAATTGATTGGCCCATTACTGCTAACCATAACCATAAAACAAAAAAAATAAAGAAAATAATAAAATAAAATAAAACATTTAATTTACAATTAATCAAAATATCATTTAAGCACATAATCTAATTAAACAATTAACACATAGACAAATACAAATAACACATAGACACATAATCAAATACTCAAGTAACACTTAATTCAATTAAATTCATAAGTAATTATTCAAATAATCAATTAAATAATTAAAAATACAAATAAAACAAATAAATAAATACCGAGACTATCCTTTTAAAATTAGGGGTATTACAGTGTGTATATATATATTCAGATTTGAATACTTAAAATTTCCATTTTTAAAAAATTTCCAACTTCGTTGTGAAAAAAAAATCCACCCATATATATATATATATATATATATATATATATATATATATATTTACACACATATGCATATGTATAAAGGATTATGAAGTCGCCACACAAATTTGTTCTTGTAACTATGGAATCAAACACCAATATACATAACGTTTATATATATAAATATATATATAAGATTACTCTGGGTACATGTTGATCAAGAATTTCCCATTATTTTTTTTTGGGCAAATATATGAGTTATTTAGAGAGAGAAACCCAATTGTTCACTATTGTTGTCTATTATAGAGAACAGTGGGTACTTACGTGTAGATTTGAAATTTCCCACCTCATTTTCCTTGCAGCAAACACAATATAATTCGACACATAAAACTATATATATACATATATATTGTATATATATAGAATTCACACACAGAATTACTGATCCAAATTCGAAGAAACGAAGGAGCAATCGGCGGTGAAAATAATCGATGCCAAACCACCATCGCTGGCGTAACGCCACTCTACGAACCCTAATTTCCATCTCTTTGTCAAAATCGAAGCTCCGATATTGTCATTGCCTCGTTCACGTTGACCCTAATTCAAATGCCAAAACCATAATTCTGGCAAGCATGGTGATGTTGTGAACAGCAAGCCGGCCAACAAAACAACTACTGGTCCATCACCACTGACAAAACAAAACACCCATTTCCGAAAACAAAACAACTACCACCACCACCACCGTCGCAAATTCACCACATTCGAGGCATTAAACCCCAAGACCACATCGCCGGATCCAAGGAGACCTCCCTCGCCTTCGTCAACTTCACGGACTTGATAATGAGTTTGCAGAAGTTTTTCTAAGAGAGAGAAATGACCAGACATGGACGGTGATACAATTTTGATATTCATTTCATAATTTTGATAGTTTACAATTATAATTAATTAAATATTGGTGGCAATCTCGCCTTTTTCAACCTCTTAAGGGCTTGTTTGGATCAAAATTCTGACAATGGGTGTCATTGTTCAAAAAACACAAAACTTATATACAATTGTCATTTTGACAAACCTAAAAAGGTGTCATTATAATTAATTCTTATTTTAATTTTTTCTAAAAATCACTGGAATTGGTTGAATACTAATTTTAATTTTTTCTAGAACTCGGATTGGTTTTGATTTAGCACGAAATCGTCACGCATACCCTACTGGCACCTCAAACAGAAGTCCAGCAAGTTGAGCCGGTCTGGCAATCCAACGCTCCGGTTCAGCAGTATCTGTATTTAGTTAAAATATGGTGCAAACACATTATTTTAGTTAAAATATGGTGCAAACATATTGCTAAACCCTACTACATTCATAACTATTGCAAACTGCCTTCCTTTTTCTCACTCTTTCCAGTCCCCAAAATAGGGTTTTCCTCAAGACAGAAAGCGAACGGGTTAGAGAGAGAGGGGAAAGAGTTTTATCCACTTCGACGAAAGCTTCCCTTTTATTTCTTGCAGAGAGCAAAGAAAAATGAGGAAGAAGGTCGATGAAAGAATCAGAACTCTAATCGAAAACGGCGTCAAAACCAGACACCGTTCCCTGTTTTTCATCATCGGCGACAAATCCCGTGACCAGGCACTTCCCCCTCTCATTTTTCTCTCCAACTTTCACACACACATATATATATATATATATATATATATATATATATATATGTATGTATGTATGTATGTATGTATTTATACGTGTGTGTATAATATTGTTTCACTAGTTAATTTTGTTATTTGATTGTATAGATTGTGAATCTCCATTACATGCTTAGTAAAGCGGTGGTCAAGTCTAGGCCGAGTGTTCTTTGGTGTTACAAGGATAAACTTGAACTCAGCAGGTAAATTTTGGACTATTTTCTACTGGGTGAATTTACTATTGGCGGCTTTGTACCTTAATCATCATAAAGTGGAGTGAACCTCTCAGTTACTCAGTACTTTTTAATTTTTGGGTTAAAGTTATATGGCATTGGGAAATAATGAAATAATTTTACTCTTGAACTAGTGCTGTAACTATTATTGCTTGATTCATTTGAATTTATTGAACTTTAATATGTCAACTGAATGACCAAAGGCAAATTGAACTTGCATATATTGTGGTGGTGTTTATATTGCTTATTGTTGCCATGAACTACTTTGGAGATCATTTCCAGAAGATAATTTTAAAGTAGTACTAGTGTAAAACAATTATACTCTGTGTTTATGCATACACGTTTGTATGGATTATGTAAAAATGGGTGCAATGATGTTCCCAAAATGCATTTTAGAATCCTAGGAAAATCTTTTTATTTTTTATTTTTTTTTAGTGTCACATACCGAATGACGTTCATCAATTGGCTGCTGGAATTTATCTTGCCTATGGACATATAAATGATACCACTCATTCAACTCAGAAATCAAATTTTAATCCTTATTCCACTATATCTTACTTAAAGTTTCACCACATTCAATAATTGATCAGCCTACGTTGTTGTGTCTCTTCTTTTGAAGTTTCAGCTTAAAGTAGTTTCCCCCCACCCCCTCCTTTTTCTGTAATTCAAAATGTATAGTGTGAACTGTTTTTTTTCTGTCTACCTTTATTGAACAAAAGACTTCCAAGCCAATTGCTTGCTCACTCACAGTTGGTGATTGTGTTTTTGCAGTCACAAGAAAAAACGTGCCAAGCAGGTTAAAAAATTAATGCAGAGGGGACTGCTGGATCCGGAGAAGGTTGATCCTTTTTCGCTTTTTGTTGAAACTGGAGGAATAACATATTGCCTGTACAAAGATTCAGAGAGAATTCTTGGGAATACTTTTGGCATGTGTATACTACAGGTAGATGCCATTTGTCTATTGTGATTAAACTAATTGTGGCATAGCATTTGTTCATACTTTCTGGTTAATGCTGTGATAATTCTGTTTCCTCAAATTTTTATTTATTTATTTATTTTTTTAATTTACTTAGTTTCTTGTTTTCCCCTTTATAGGATTTTGAGGCTTTGACACCAAATCTTCTTGCGAGGACGATTGAAACAGTAGAGGGTGGTGGTTTAATTTTATTGCTGCTCCGTTCTCTGGCCTCACTCACCAGTCTCTGCACCATGGTCATGGTATGAGTCAAATTTTCTAACTGCTATTTTGCTTTACTTTATGGAAATTTTCTGAGGAATTGAGAAATTGTGAAACCTCTTTCTATTTTATTCTTCTTTACTTTATGCTTTATTTTTTCACCCTTTGGTTGATTTTCTGCTATTCCATTTGATATGACTATTAAATTATTAATGTTGCCTCAGTTTCTACTGTTGCTTCCCCTGCAAGATAGATACATATATTACGTAATGACAAGTTACCTTGCAAGAAGTTCTACTTCATCTGAAAGACACCTGCTTCCTATTGCTTAATACTTTCTTTCCATAGATTGTCACTGCTACTGTCAACATTTTCTGCTATTGCGTTTGATATGACTTTTAAATTATTAATGCAAGACAGATGGTGCTATTGCCTCAGCTGCTACTGTTGCTTCCACTGCATAATAAATGCATATATTACATAATTACAAGTTACCTTGTGAATCAACTAGTTCTACTTCATCTGAATGACACCTGCTTTCTATTGCTTGATACCTTATTTCCATAGATGGTTATTGCTAGTCAACGTACTGTCCACTTAGACCACAACACTTCATTCTGTCTTTATGGTCCTCTTTCGATAACAGGTACATCCATCACATCTCAACAAGGAGAGCGTCATCTCCAAAGTGCCAATTTTAGGTGGATCTGGCTAATTCGACTTGAAATCATGCTTTTATTGTTTTTGTGGGCAAATGACATTAACTGAAAGTTAGGATGAATAAGATCCGGTAATTAAATTGTTTGACCTTCCATGGAACATATATTCAACATTGTTCCTTTCGTGTGCACGCACTTAAATCATTTACAATCATTGAAATAGATCATCCGCCCGTATTAACTAAGTAATTTGGCCTTGGAGCAAAACCTGGATCAGTTCATGATGTTTATCAATTGTCTTTCTCCTCTTCTATTACAGTATCGATCTCAAGTTCTCAGAATTTGGCAAAAGTTGAGCCTTACATAGTGTTATTTTTTATTTATTCATGTTAATACCATTGATTTAGGGCTCCGAGATTTGTATTATTTGATTTGTTTTTTTTTTTTTTTTTGTTGATAAATAAGCAATTCATTAAAAGCTTTCAAAAGGGGAACGCGTCCCTACAAACCACAAAAACCTGGGTACCCTAAGGCCCTAGGGAAGCCAAAAACTCAATAGTCTCCTCAGCAGAGGAACATAGTCTACCCGAACCCCAAGAAAAGAGAGAGCTAATAACAGAAGATTTGAGAACAATGACCAAAGATTCCTCTCCTTCAAAATATATTCTATTCCGCTCCCTCCACAAACACCACCAAAGACGAAAGGGGGCCATCCTCCAAAATCCTCGAGCTTGTGGTCCCACCCAACCCCCTCTCTAGGTATCCATCAGACCCCTCGTAGATCTAGGCATGACCAGTAAACTCCAAATAAGCCTAACAAGAGATTCCAACATTCAACCGCTACTGGACAATGCAAAAGATGATGGTCAACAGACTCTCCATTACACTTGCACATGCAACACCAATTCACCGCGATCTGATTTCTCCTTCTCAAATTATCCAGCGTCAATATTTTACCCCACACGACTGTCTAAGCAAAGAATGCCACTTTCAATGGCGCTTTAGTTCGCCACACTGCCTTCCAAGGGAATACCACCCCAGCTGGGTCCAAAAGGCATTCGAAGAAGGAACTCACACTAAACATTCCCTTATAAGAAGGAATCCAAAACAAGAGAATCCCTACCTCCTCCACGGATCACCTGGCTGTACAAAAATACTAAGAAACCTAAGACATCATCCATCTCCCAGTCCTGAAAAGATCACTTAAAAAGCATGTCCTAAACCGGTCTCCCGCCATCAAGGCGATAGCAGTCAGCCACCGAGGCATGCCTATTAGCCGCAATCCTAAACAGTCTAGGGGGAAAGAACATGCTAAAGTGCGATCTCCACACCACAAATCCTCCCAAAACCGAATCTCCGTACCATCATGAATTCTGAATATGATATACTTAGAAAACTCATTCCAGCCCTTCTGAATGGCTTTCCAAACACCAATGCCACCAGGAATAGACACCACAACACCACCCCCCCCCCCCCCACCCAAAAAAAAAAAACCCAAAGCAATACAAGATAACCCTCCTCCACAACCTATCCCGCTCAATACCAAACCTCCACAACCACTCACCTAAAATGGCCAGCAGTCTCCTAATCCCAATTCCTCCGAACTTAACAGGCTTACACACCTGTTCCCAATGAACCAGATGATACTTAAACTCATCCCCCAAACCTCCCCATAAGAAGTTTCTCTGAAGTTTTTCAATACATGCAGCAACCGAGGACGGGATCTGGAAAAGGGATAGAAAATATGTAGGAATGCTCGACAAAGTGCTTTTCAACAAAATAACCCTCCCACCTTTTGATAAATATTGCTTCTTCCACCCCGCAAGCCTCCTCTCCACCCTCTCCACCATCGGATCCCAAGCACCTACAATACTCGAAGAAAACCCCAGAGGCAATCCCAAGTAAGAAATGGTTAAAGAACTAACTCCACAACCAAGAACAGAAACTCCTCAGTATCTTGGACCTCTCCCACTGGAATCAAAGTGCTCTTCCCGCATTCACTTTGAAACCCGAGATTGTCTGAAAACATATCAACACCGACCTCAAATACTATTTGATTTGTATTTTAATCTTCCATTTCTTGATATTTAAAGTAGAAGAGAACCAAACACTTATTTGAGCGTAATACCACTGAGAGAGATGGCGGTGGTTGTTTGGGACATAATAACAGCAACATGGGACTGATGTAGAGAGAAATAGGGAGGAGGGCTGAGAACATGAAGAAAGGAGGGGCAAAGAAAGGGGAGAGGTTTTTGCAATATTTTTTTTTGATAAGTATGATATCATTAAAAGTGCTCAAAAAGGGGAGCGAACCCAACATAATACATTAGACGCCCATGGCAACATTAAAGTTTTAAGCTATCCACAAAATCTAAAAGGTCCCCCATAGATTTACAATTTCGCCCATTAAACAAAAATAACAAGTTTGATAGTATATTGTATTTGAGAGACCAAATAGGAGATTCCTCTCCCTCAACAGATCTCATATTTCTCTCGCGCCACAAGGCCCACCATAAATAAAGGGGAGTGACCCTCCAAGCTTCTCTGACTCGGCTTTCCACTATACCCTCTCCAAGTCTCTAACATGTCTACTGTGGATCCGGAAAACACCCAAACCATACCAAATATCTCTCGCTTCCGCCTTCTAAGGGAAGGAAGAATCTGGGGCATCAATCAGGCTCTGGTAAAAGTACCTAACCTCAAAGACCCCTCTCGGGGAACCCACCCAAATAAGCTCATCCATACCCGCACCCTCCACCACTTGACAATAGATCAAAGCTATAAGAACTTTGTGACCTTCGTAAGCTCCCAATCATGAAATGCTCTACGAAATTGCACATCCCCTAAGTCAACCTCCCATCATTAAGACGATAACAGTCAACAACTAGAACATGCTTGTTTGCAGAGATCCTCAGAGCCGAGGAAATCTACGAGCCAACACAATGTCCCCACACCAACAATCCGTCCAAAACCGGATGCTTTTGGAAAATTCATCCCAACCCTTCCGGATAAACTTCCAAGCACCCACACCAGTCAGAAATCTCACCTCACTAGACACCCACCTTCCTTCTCCCTCCCCAAAACGACAGGTAATGACCCTCTATAATCTGGACCTTTCACCCCCAAACCTCCATAGCCATTTTCCCAACAAAGATCCAACCTCTTGGGACCCAACCCACCCTTCTTTAGAGGGGAGCACACTTTTTTCCCGGTTAACCAAGTGATATTTGAACTCTTCACCCTTACAACCCTATAAAAATCTCCTTTTTTTTTTTTTTTTTTTTTTTTTTTTTGGTTAATTAAGCAAATTCAATAAAAAGCGTTCGAAAGGGGAACAATGCCTTCTCATGCGTTCCTATGGACCCAAAGAAGAAATAAAATCAATTGTCTTCTCCTCCGGGGAGGAACTGCCTTTCGGAACCCCAAAAGCATAAAGATGTAATAAAAGTTGACTTAAGAACCACAATCGAGGATTCCTCTCTTTCAAAGGATCTATTATTTTGCTCCCTCCACAGGCACCACCATATGCACAACGGCGCCATCCTCTAAAACCCATGAGCATGACCTCCCACAAAGCATCCTCTCCAAGCCTCAATTAGTCCTCTCGTAGATCTAGGCATCACCCACGACACCCCAAACATGCCTAACAACAGACACCAACAATCAAAAGCCACAGGACAGTGCAAAAGAAGATTATCCACCGATTCTCCATTATATTTGCACATACAGCACCAGTTAACTATTATTTGTCTACGCGTCCTTATATTCCGTTGGTTTTGGATTATGGGGGTTTGAGAGCTTGAAGATCCCTATTTAGATTCGAGAATATGTGGCTCAGAGCAGATACTTTCATGGAGGGTCCTGGTGGGAGGAGGCTCCGGTGGTTGGCACTAAGAGTTTTGTTCTAGTTGGGAAACTTCGCCTCTTGAAGACTGAGCTCAAAAGATGGTATAAGGAGGTGTTCGGGAACTCAGGATGGAGGAAGAACTGGGCACTTGCTGATATTGCTGAGATTGATCGGTTGGAAGGGGTGGGTGGATTTGTGGATCTTCAGTGTACCCAGAGAGTAGAGAGTCAGGTGGAGATTGCCATTATGGAGGAGATTTCATGGCGACAGAAATTCCGGGCTCTATGGCTCAAATAGGGAGATTGCACTACGAAATTCTTTTATAGGCTCACTAATGCCTATAGGAGGGGCAACCATATTGGGCGGATCTGTGTGGATAGAGTGGTGTGTAGGGAAGAGGACGTGTGTAGGGGGATTGTTTCTTATTATCAGAGGCTCTGCTATGAGATTGTTGGTTGGAGACCCAGGCTCGGTGATTTTCACTTTGATTCAATCTCAGTGTTGGAGAGGGATTGGTTTTCTAAGGAGGAAGTGT